CGTTTTCAGGATTCCCAGTGCGGCCGCAGACAGAGCAGAAGCACTTCTTTCCCTTTAAAAACTCTCATCTATTAACACCTGAATTGTTCTTACTTAAAACAGATTTTGAAAGGTTTATTGCAATATTTTTTTTTTTAAACCCTCTATTTCTATTTCCCTCCCTTCTCCTTTCCCTTCCCCACTTTTATGTCTTGCTTCCAGCATTACAGATCCATCCCTTGGAAAGTACTCCTGGAAAAATTTCTTCACTGTATTTTTCATATCACTAATTCATATCATTAATTTTCATAAATTATGAGGGTTTTTAACCTAAATGGGTACAGAGGAGAAGGGAAAGCAAAAAAAGCAAAGTTTTCCTTCTGTTTTCCTTCCCCCTTAAGACAGGTGATCTGGATTAAGAATAAAATAATTTACTCTCAGTTTTTCTAACGCAAGGTTAAAATGTGTCCAAAAGTAGTGCAACATTAATTTTGGATAAAAACATAATCAAGAAAAGCTTCAGATCATGAAATTCAGATCCCATAACATAATTCCCGTACTTAGATGTAATTGCTTAGTGTTAGAAAAAACTATTCCTATACCCTTGACATGATGTCTTAAATACAGGCTTAATATAGAAAGCCAGAATTATTTCTACAAGGATTTTTTTCCTTACATATTCTAAGAATAAAATTGTTCACCTTCAGTTTTTCTAACATAAAAGTAAAACTAGAGCATATTTCTCCTCACAATTCACATGTACATCAGTCTGTTTGGACAGTGATAGCTGAGTGCAAACTAATCCTGGTCTGCTTCCACATCAGAGGGGCTAAACATGGTGCACTTCTGGAGAAGCACTCTGTAAAGTTTCCTGGGAAGAAGCAAATGAGTGGAAAAGGTAGGTGAAAAGAGTGGGTTATCATCCAACAAACCTTCAGATTTCCTTGGGAAGGCTGATATAAATAAAGAATATTAACCAGGGTTTAAATAGGTGATTCTTGCCTCAGTTTTGTCTCTGTATTCCAAATGTCAGATGACAAATGTGTGGCTTGATTGTCAAGCTGTAGTAAAGTCATTGTAAACAATTTAATTATTTAGCAAAGGGAGAAAATTTAGTTGTTTCAAGCACTAATGGAATTTTAACGTATTAATAAATAAAGATTTACAATTGAAGTTGGTTAGTGTTTGATAAGTAAACAATCCTACAATCAGAATAGTACAAAGCCATTTCTTTTATTTACTCCTAAAGTAAAAGTGAAAAGTCTTTTGAAATGGTGTGAACAAATTCAGATGTTTCTTTCCTGGTTTAGATATCAGACTTGAAAGAAATTCCAGCTGTGACAAATTTACAAGGGGTATACAGAGTAGGTATAAAAGCAAGTGCACACAGCTATTGCTTAATTAAACAAACATCTCATCTGAGGCTCTGTGAATTCTTGGTAATAATTCTTTGTAGTCTGCTGCTGCTGCTGTTCGGTTTCCCAACTCTCCCTGTCTGTCCCACTGGGCTGACACCTGCTGTGAGTCAAGCAATAGTTTGCACAGGTGAGAATCTCCCAGGTTTTATTTTGCATCCATCTTCTTTCAAACACTCAGCCTGCACATGAATAAAATGGGAGGATCATGAAATATTAATTCACAGTGTTGGTGTTTAAATCCAATACTGACTCTCCAGAGTCCTGGGCCTATTTTGGAAAAAGCACCACACTCCAAAGTACATTCAGAAGCAAAGCTCTCTCAATTACATAAATGCAAAAAACAGTGCTGGCTTTCAGGGGAAGATGCTGCAATATGAACGGAATAATAAAATATTCCTTCAGCCAAAGGAAGAGAGAAAAGGACTTGGCACCCCACCGAGATGATGCGGCACTGTCAGTGTGGTTTCTTCAGACTACTACAGCAACCATTGCCTGTCTGTCTGCCTCTCAGACCCCCTCTCAACAGTTTGTTTAACCCTTTAATATTTTCAACCAAACTCTGTGGGGAAGGAGATGTCTTCAAGAAATGAAAATCACTACAAGTTTAATGTGGACTGGGGCAAGGAAGACTGAAGCATTTGCCACCTGGGGGGGGAAAAGGATGCTGTGTGAGTATGATGGATGAGCAGGACAGAGCCAGTGTGGGGTGAAGCAAATGCTGCCATTTGCCTGACTGCTGCTCTGGGACTGTGGGGAGAGATGAGGGTGGTGTGCAGGGAAAGAGGGAGCATTGCAACTCAGCAATCTTCATGAGCACATATAGAGATGAGCTGGAGTCAGGATGGGCATGGAAAGGGCAACACTTGTTAGGCAACTCACATTCCTTCATTGTGCTGCACAGTGGATGACTTTAATCTAATGTCAGGACTTTCAGTGTACAGGCAATTAGCCACATATTTATCCTAGTCATTGACTTTACTGGTAAACATGGAGCACATCTGTGTTCTGGGCAGCCCTTCATTAAATTTGACTTGTCTGGTGATGGCAAATTGAAATAAGGGGTGAAAGATGTTTTCAGACAAGCTGAGGACTGTTGTGCTTTGAGAAAGAGCACTGGTACACAGTGCAAATTTTGGCTCTTTTTTGAAACTTTATTCAGTATTGTGCTAGAAGTGAATGTGACCAGCAAGGGTTTGGAGTGCCTGCCTTGGCAGCTGGGAGCTCACACCCAGCTAAGCACACAGCCCCTTTACAATAGTTTTGCCACAGAAACAAAGCCAGGAACAACAGAGTGCTCTGCTGACAGGCGAGGGGACTGCCAAGGAACTGTTTTTGGGAAACCCAGGATGTCTGAAATCTACATCCCAGCAATGAGGTACCAGTGGGATCCAAATGCAATGATACCTACCAGTCTATAGCATTAGGATGAAATGCAGAATGGCTGTTTCTTCAGATGCCAGAAGAAAGAATGAAGAGGATGAAATCTAGGGAGTATTTAGGGACAACAGATGAAATCTATTGGAGTCTTCTCTGGAAGGGAAGAGCAGATTCACTGTTTATCCCAGACTAGAAGTTGTCTTCGGCTCTGGCAGCTGTGCTCAGCTGGGCTTGGTGGGACAGGCAGACAGGGCTCTGCTAGCTTCCTGATTTCTGGCTCTCAGGGATGTGTGCTCCCTGTGGGAAGCATGTGCAGAGCTATTGAGAGCAGAAGCAAAGCAGGCAGCCTGAAGGACATTCCTCCAACTCGGTTTCTCAGCAGAGCACTTATTCCAGGGCTGTACTTCCCCCTTGATTGTTTGCCCCTGCCATTGCGGAGCTGACATCTTGCAGGGGAGCCCTGCTTGGTCCCTTATCGTAGGAGCATGAGGAATGATCATTGCCCAGCGACACCCATCGATAACAGTGAATAATAGCCAGGAAGGGAGGCAGACAACAGTAGGAACATGCTCAAGAGAGGTGCTGTAATTCTTGGGACAGGGCACTTCTGCAGAGGAGGAGGAGAGTTGCGGGGTGGACGGGAGGGGGGTTCCTGCACTGTTGATACTCTCTAGAGCTCAGCAGCTGGAGAGAAACATTGGCTAAGGATGGTCAAAGCTGGGAAGGGAAAAAAGCAAGGAGGAAAAAGGATGAAGTGAAAAGAGCTAGGAGCCACGCTGGAGAGCATACAAATAGCCTGCTGACCTCTGATGCATGAGGGATGAAGAAAACAGACTGTGATTGACTATGTGGACCATCTGGGTGATCTTCTGGATTTCAACTGTCCCGGTAGGTGCTCAGATCTATTTATTCCCATTTGCATAGAATCACTTGTTATCTGAGTAATGCTGAGCACCTCTATTCCATGAAGTTGTGATGTCTCTGTTTAAAAAGATCTATGTAGAACCTGAGATTTTAAAATTTTCTTCTTGCTTCTTCTGCTTCCTGCACTGACAGTGGCCAGATGACTAGATGCTGGATGCCTCAGTTTCCCCACCTTTTTAAAGACAGAAATGTTACTAACTCACTTTGACAAACACAGCAGGTGCTGTGATGAAGGAGAAAAGATTTCACTCCATTCAGAGAAGCATTACTGATTTACACCAGCAATCAATACCTTAAGGGGCAATGCCCACATCTAGCAGTGCCTCCCTGGACTCAGATTGAAGGAATGTGAAGCGATGTTTATACCACAAAATTTGTCTCCTTTTTTTTTTTTAGCTTTATCACTTTACTGAGATTTATGTGGCAGATTGTCACTGCTGAGCTCCAGGTGCTTGGATCAGTCAGAAAGGAGAGTGGAACCTGGGATATGATCTCCAGGTGCTGCTCAGATGATTCATATTTTGAATGCATATAAAACAAGGGGTGAAGTCTAGCTTGGGTGTGAGAAGCTAGAAAAGGATCAAATCACTGTTTTATTGCAACAAATGGGAAAATCAATTTATTTGTACCAGCAGGGGATTTGGCTCTGACTGTGAGAAAACCTGAGCTCTACCTAGACATTTTAATTGCAGAGTGAATACAATCTTCAAACCTTTTGCCTTTTGATCATCTTCTGCAATAAAAATTGTGACTGTGATGGTTTTCTTGTAATTTTGGTTATTCTTAGTACTACCTAAAGGACTCTATAAATAGATGTCATTGCTCAGGGTGTCCCTAAGAGCACCTCCTTCTATTGGTTCTTCTAATCTTTCAAATGTGTTTTGATTTTGCCAGGCATCTTGCTCCTTAAATCCTCTTATTATACTAAATCCATTTATTTTAAAATGAAATGGCTGTGAATTCTGGATAATGTTTAGATCCATTCATTTCACACTTTAAAAACTGTGTTGGCTGTTGCTATCAATATTGCAGCTTTTTGCCCATTCTTGATATCTATTTATCACAGTTATCTCTGTTTGGAATGGGTTTGGTATCTGTCTTTAAACAAAATATGACAAGATCTTTCTCTCTGTCCTGGTTTCATACGGGACAGAGTTAATTATCTTTTAGTAGCTGATGAAGTATCAAGGAGATCACAACTGTTTCAGGGAACTGTTTAGAAAGAGACATAGAAACTGCACGTAGAGGAGCCCCTTTTCCTCCTCGTTCTCAAGCAGCAGGGGCAGGCTGTTTGCTCCCACTTGTGGATGGTAAACACGAGTGAGACTGAGCACAGCTGGTGGCAGAGTGGGGTTATCCGGCCACAGCATGGGAAGTGGATTTCACATGGCTCTGCAAACATCCCAGCACTCATACCCAGCCTGCTCCCTTGGATGCCAGTGTTGGCATAGACAGGCTCAGGGACAGGGTGGGTGGAAAACAAGGTGTTTAAACCCACACCTGGAAGCTCTCTGCTTTCCCTGGGTTTAAAATCCTGTTAGCTGTACATCTTTTCCCAGGAAGTGGTATCCAGCTGATTAGAAGAATAGGGTGGACATCACTCTGTGGGGTAAAACAGTAATTGTAAGGCACTACCTATGCTGTACTCCTGCTTGAACAGCACGTTTAGTGTAAGAAAGTAATGCTGTTTCAGATCATCAGGGTGATCTTCACAGCTGGGTGTGCTAAAAGTGTGTGGCCTCACTCTAGCCATAAAGAAATAACACATAATTTAAACATTTCTAAAATAAAAACTTCCTTAGGACCCACATTTCTTAAAGGAAAACAGTGCCCACACAATGTAGAGGCTTTTTTAAGATGGAGTATTCCCCTGTTTCTGAGATCATTGCTAACATGATTCCTAGCATTTATTTTTACATATGTTCAGTATCATCTTAACACCCCGTATGCAAACCAGACTGGTTATATTGGCTACTTCAAATGTTCAGCATTCAAATCCTGGCATCAGAAGAGTGTTTCTTTCATATAAAGTCTTTACGTGTGTGATTCCAGAGAATTTATTACATTGTGCAAAAACAGGTGATCTCTAGTTTGTTTATTTCATGACACACAAAGACAAGTGAGAAGGATACTGAAGTTAAACACAAGTTTACACAGCAAACTAATTAGATGAGGTATGATACACTGCTGAAAAGATCAAACTTTGTTCAGAGATATAATACTCAAAAATTTCCAGGCACAATAGTGGGAATATGGTCTCTAATGTCTGGTATGCTAAAATTTAATTGTAGAAAAGTAATAGTTCTCATTACAAGGTTTTCAGGGATTGTTCTTTCTCCCAAATCCAATCTGAAAGTGATTAGCAATACTGCAAGATTTATTAGGTTGAGCAGTAATGTCATGCTGCTGGGTTAACGCTCTTGAACAAAGAACATAAACAAATTCTATCTGATATTTTTCAACTAACAGAGCTCGATGACTGGCTTGCAATCTCTTCATTATGTATGTATATACATATCCATTTATATATATGAACATAAAAGTTCCATAGTGAGAATTTATAGAGATTTTGTGTTTCTCCATTAGAAAGAAATTACCTAATTCATTATAATGGGCATCCACTTACATTCAGGTTTCTTGTGTCAAAAAGAATAGACACTCGTAAAAATAACTTTTACCCTGCAAAGGGTAAAAATACATTTTTTTCTGAACAATGTAACTGTTAAGACCATGTCCTGCAAAGAATTTTGTAATGATTTTCAATATTTGTCATTTTAATGGTCTGTAGCTGTTTGATTTTTTAACTTGTTTTGGTCCAGCTGCATAAAACATAAACCACATTTAATTGCTACATTAGAATTGAGTGGACACTAACATTTCCACATGGTTTTATGAGAAAGGAGGATGGAAAGATGAAAAAATGACCTTAAGAAAAATTATCATTTACATTCTCACAAAAAAAATCTGGGTGAGATTCTGCTTTCAGGTGGGCTCCTGCAGCTACCAGATGGTAGCAGGGAAACAGGCTTGGGTGGTCTGCAACCAGTGGGAATATTTGGATCACTTGTGCCCAGGAAAATGACCTGCCAGGTGTATGGTTTAACACAGCCATGGGTGAGTGATTAATTCTCTGTTACTCTAGGAGACTCCAGCAGTGTCCTGGATGTTTCTGTAGCCTTTTGGAAGAGCATCCTGTTCATGTACTTAATTTAGCAGAATAACACATTTTTCTCAATGTCAGTAATATCAGCAAAAGGGAGAAGACATAAACTCAGTCTGTGCTTGCCTGCTGCTACTACAAAAATGCAGACTTAACTCGGAGAATTGTCTGTATGTCAAGGAAATATTGCCCACAATCAAGTGATAGATTTGCATGGGGAATATGAGCATAAAAAGGATATATTCTGTTGAGATTTTATAAGTTTTAAGAGGAAAAGTGATTCCACTGCTTTTAAAATTTGTAGATCAAAGCTATTCCACCTGTCTGTGACCTTCTGAGTGTACTGAAAAGGGAGGAAGAAAAGTGTGTGGAGACTCTTTCCCTGGAGGCAAGGAACAGAACGACTGAAAATGATCTGCTCCTGAGCTCAGGTAAAGGCTGAACAAATGCACACAATGAAAGCTGCTCTCACATGACCTGGGTGCCTCAAACTCAGATACCCTGGCATCCCTTCCCACAGAAGGTATGCACTTAGAATACATCTCTCCTTTAGGAGCAGAAAAACAGGTAAGATCTGTTACAAGGCTTTGAGAGCAGGATTCTGGCATTACTGTGACAGGAAAAGTTGTGGCAACCTTCTAACCCAGTTGCTTGACTGTAATCCTCACAACTAGGGAACAAACCAGCAACAAAATCTTGCAAATTACAATAATGTCTTCTTGGAAAAGGATAATTTAAAAACTCATCCCAGCAACTGCAAATTTACTTAACTATATTTACCTTAAAAATCAATGAAGATCAGTAGCCAACATTTAAATCACGTGGCTTGAAGGTCCTCATTGCTTCCTCCTTGTTCCAAGTTACTGTCACCTAACAGAGTTCTTGAATTTCAGTGAGGATTTATCATCATACAAAGGAGATTTTTGGCCTGGGAAATATACATGATGAGTCCTCATCATGTATACAGTTTTGCTTTCACAGCTGAGCAACTGGGGTCATGTGCAAGGGATTATTAAACCTTGCCTGTGAACTGCGTGTTAGTTCCCCCAGGCAGCTGCTGGGTCAGCATCTCAGAGAGAACATTGGGTGTAGACAACACATGTGACTATTTTTAGTGTGTGACCAGTCATCACCACAGGATGGGGTTGTGTCACTCCCAGCATCTCACAGACTGAACTGATTCTGGGTGACTTTTGTGCACTGTAACATGGGCAAGATTCTCACCAGCATGAGCAGGGAAGGAGCTCCCATGAGATGTGCTGTGTGCAAGCTATCCTGGCCACAGATAAACTACCATGTGGAGCTAGAGTTAAGGTGTTTTCTTAGTTTCAAAGCCTTCCTCTCTAACAGAGAGTGTTGGAGAAGAACAATCTCACTATGACCTGGCCCAAGGACAGAACTCAGAGGGAAGATCTACTGCCTGGTTTCTTAGGACGTTTTGCATTTTTCTCTGTCACTATTTTATCCCTGTCCCTTGCAGACTGATGGGTGTGAGCACAGCTTCAGGGCATTACAGCCACATAGTATTGACAGGATACCTTATGGCAGGCTTCCAGGTACTCCACAAGGCAGATCTGTCTCATTGTATATAAGAAGTTTAATGATATGAATAAATCAGTATAGTTTGTTTCCTTCAGTGAAGAGCAGGTTGGTTTGTCAGACTATTTCTTTTTCTGCTTTGATCCTGTGATATAGTTCTCATGTTCAGCTCTGTGTTTCCTTGGCACCAGAACTCCACAGGACCATGCAGGTGTGGACCTGCACTAGCATTAGCAGGGAATACTATTTTACAGATAGTCTTGTTTTGTCTCAGTCAAATAGTAGCTTCTCAGCAGAGACTTAATCCAATTTTAAACTGGATCCACATCTTAAAGTTCACCCAAGGCCTTTCACTATTGGAATTTTTAAATGGGGTAATTCTACCTAAAATTCTACCAAACTCTAAGAGGGGTTTGTTACCTTGGTAAGCTAGGGAGTATTCTGGGAAATAACACACCTGGAAATACATTCAGCCTTTAAGGTAGCTGCATGCCTGAAGTTCTTGTGGAGAAAATCTCATACAAGGATTTCAGTTTGAAGAAGAGAGAAACAAAGCTGAGGAATTCAGTGCATACCCCTGGTGGGTCATGGAGGGAGGAATAAAAGTAGCTTTTCAGGGTATGGGGCACCTTCTGTACCTTGTCCTTCCTGCACCTGCCCCAGAAGCTTTGACTGGCACAGGCAGGAAAAAGGACAAAGCAGGGAACAAGCTCCCACCATGCCATCTCTGCTGGTGAGCTCACATCTCTGTGAAGATGGCTCAAATAAAGGAATTCATTGCTGGGGAATCAGGCACAAAGTACCTGAGCAGTGAGTGTTTATTATCCTCCTGCAGTAAAAGGGAAAAGGGACTCTGCCCTTATGATAACATTAGCCTGGGAAAGGGAGCAGCGTAATATTAACATAACCCAAGTCAGAGTTATGCTCTTTTTAGTGCATGAGTGAAGACAAGAAAATTCTCTTGGGAGCAAGGAGCAGGGCAGGGAAAGGAGCAGGGCAGGGAAGCTACTGGAGACTTGGGACCCCTGATCATGGTGTATTGCTGCTGGGAGAATGCTCTGAGTGCTGCTTGAGGGAGATCCCAAAGAGCCCAAAGGGCTCTGTGAGGGAGGTATTGCTGTGCTTTGTCTCCACCCTGAGGCTTTTTATCTAGCTGGGGGTGGGAGACACTGGCTTTTATCCATGAGGAGTAGCAAGAAGCCCACCTGCAGGAGGAATAGCTCAGCTGGTTTATGTTTTCTCTTTGAGGATGGAAACCACCCGACATCATAATTTTGCCAGGTTTTTCTGTGCATTGCGTCTAATGTTGGGGTTTTATGCCTGTGGTGTTGGCATGAAGGTTCAATAAACCAAACAGTGCAGCACATTAAGTCATAAGTATCACCTAAGTTGAAGTTTTGCTTGCCTTTAAACTTTTGCTTTGAAGTAAATACTTTCCAAGACTTATAAACATTGGCACAGGGAGGACACCAGGGCTGAGGTGCCAGCCTGGCTGTGAACAGCTCTGTATTTTCAGGCACTAGGACTGCTGCACAGACGGAATTCAATACATTTCTAGAAATGTAAATATTTTTGTCAGGCTAATGGAGGTTGGCCTTATAAAGCATGAAGTGTTTGAGGAGAGTGCTTGGTCAGCACTTCCTCCCCTCAGCTTTCAGGGAGCACGCAGGGCAGACGGCACACGTCCGGATACAGCAGGCACAGGGTAGTCCTGACACACCCCAGTGGCCTTTTTTCCCCTGTTATGTTGCAGAAACCTCAAAGGAGGCTGTGCTAAAACCATTGACAGGGAGTGGAGGCAAAAGGAAGTGAGTCTGAATGATTTCAACCTGTATCTGGAGAAGTGCAAAATAAGAAATAGTAGGATTGCAGTTTCTCTTTGGTACAAAGAGCATCAAATGTAGGTCTTCTCTACTAGCAGTCTGCACCTCAGGCCAAAATTAATCCATGCCAGCATCCAGCAGTTAAGCAGGATGTCTAAGTAGAGATCACCATCACACTCTGCTCTGTTGGCCACCAGATGAGCTCCTTGACGCAACTCTACCAGCCGTGCCAGAAGGCAATACAGTCAAGCTGAGGGTGCAGCTAGAAAAGTCTCCTTCCCTCTCTGACTGTGAGAGGGGACCATGACAAGCCCATCCTTAAAATAAGCAGCCCTTGCACCTGAGGGAAAAGGGGTGAGACTGGGCAGCCGAGCTCAGTGAGTGGTCTGTTGGCATTGCTCACTTCACCACAGCCTGAGCACAGTGAAAGAGAGGAGTATTTATGGTGATAAGAGGAAGACATTGATGCTGGTCCTCTCTATCCTTCCCCCAGTATGATGAGATTAGCTCAGCTGCTTAGAGCATAGTGCTAATAATGTCTAGGTTGTGGGTGTGATCCCCAAATGGGTCATTCACTTTAGAGTTGTACTCTCTTTGTGGGTTCCTTGCAACTCAGAATAGTCTGTGATTTAAGTGATCTGTGGTTTAAGTATCATCCTGAAGCTTTTTAAACTCCTAGACACAGAATCACAGAATGGGTGAGGCTGGTAGGGACCAATGGATCATCTGGTCAAACCTTCCTGCTCAAGCAGGGTCATCTAGTTGCATTTTTTCATATTTACAAAATATTATATAAGGAAAGCATTAAGCTGTCTCAAAGTGAAAGCTTTAGAAAGACTGAAAATAAGTTTAAATATTCCCGTCTAATATCCTTCATCTTTCCAGGGCCATTCAGTAGTTACCAGCAAACAGGTAGCAAAAGGCTTGACGTGAAATTCATAATGACTCTAACTGCTATTTGTGTGTCTAGTAGAGACCAGTGGGATCAATGACAAGAATGGGACAGGTCTGGGAGCTTGCTGGGGCTGGTTTGAAGAAATCAGGACCTGCTCTGTCCTATCCAGCTCTCAGCAGGACTTGCTGTCTCATCCAGCTTGCTTTTCAGAGCACTGAGTATCTTTGTTCCCGTAGCTGCCTTGGTCCATGGGAGATGTTGGATGGTGCTGTGCTGCTTGGGGATGTCTCCCAGTGTTTCATTGCTGGAAGAAGTTCCATGGTGTCATGTCACTGGCAGATGTTGTATGATATTTCCTTGTTGCCCTCCCAGGCAGATGTGCTGGAATGTGGGACAACATGAGCTGCTGGCCTTCATCCACTGTGGGACAGACTGTCAATGCTCACTGCCCCGAATTCTTTCAGATGCTGACTGGGAAAAAAGGTAATGCTAAAATGATGCTTTTCTCACCCCGGTGTTTTTTATTAAACACTTTATTTTTTATTTCTTTACAAAAATGCCACACTCAGGTCTGAACTTGAAATCAATATTTTTCCCCTCCTTTTAAAGAACAATAGTTACTTAGCAGGTCTGTTTCCACCACTAAGCTGAACATGGAAAAGCATGGAATTAAAATATCAAGATCTTTTAAGTGTTTGTGTTTTACAGCCAGATGGAAAAAAATGTAGGAATTAAATGCTATCCTGAAAAGCAGGTTTTTAGCATAGTTTCTTAAGGAAAAGGGTTTTCTCCACTCAGGTTCTGTGTTTATTTCTGTCTTTCCCTCTTAATAACTGCTAGAGCCAGTGGCTGGTCCCAGAGGAGCTTGATGGGGACAAAACTCCACACAGCATTAGGTTCACATGTGTTTTGGCAAAACATCCAGCTAGGCAGGCAGAAAAGATCCCCTTTTTTGCCATCATTAAGAGGAAATATGCACTGGGGATTTCTCTCTTGACTGTGACAGGATCCATACAAGTGGCACAATCTCATGGAAATTCAGGTTTCATGGCTCACCAAACAATTCACTCAAATAGAGGTGAGCTCAAGCAATGCTTTTTGTCCTTTTTTTCTGGGATATCTAAGCTAGAAATGAAGTGAAATTTACTCCCAGTAGACTACAGTAATCATGAGCTATTAAGTAAACCTGCTTTCTGTTCATTTATGCTTTTCAGTAATACCTAAGAAATGTGTTTACGTTTCTCTTTAGGGAGTTAATGATTTAAATGAGAAGAGCGTTTTGCATTCTTCAGTTATAGGGCACAGATTAATGAGGTCCAGTACTTACAGAAAAGCAGACAGATTCATTTTATGAAGGGAGGAACAGGAGACAAAGTATTAGATTGTCTAATAAAGATTACATAACTCAAAGGAGAAGCACTTAGTGCTCTTTAAATTAAATCAGACATGAGCCACTCAGATTAAAATAAAAACCTTGCTACTTTCTGTACACATGAACATTATCTGCCCTTTGAGCCCTTTAAGCCGGTTTAAAGCCAAAGGATAAACTACACAAAGGCTTAGATCGCTGAACAAACCATCCGTCTGGCATCCACGTCTCTTTAGCACAGTGATCCCGGCCCTTAAACGCAGTAACTGAAATCCCTGCTGGTACAGCCACCAGAGGGAACTGCGCCCTGCCTCTGGCCTTCTCACCGGGGAAGAAAGCAGGAATTTGTACCTCCAAAGGTCATAATTGCATCTCGGATGTTCACTGCCTTATCTTGGAGGTAGTCAGCTTAAACTTTAGTTGCCCTCCTTATCGAGAAGCTGATAAACAGTAATCAGAGTGACAGTGTTCAAAACAGAACCCCAGGACCTGGTCCATCATCAGCATCTTATTTCAGTCTCTGCATCTGGGACAAAGTCAGCAGTAGTTTAACCTCATTTTCATAGCCACCTTCCTCTTTGATTTTATACTCTGGTTGGCTTGTGACGCCAGAGTTTATATACTGCTACAGTCATTGACCTGTTTGAAACAATTTTTAAAAAGAAAAGCAAGGATCTGCTTGCTTCAAAAGAAAAGCAAAGGTTTTCTCTCTTCACCACTTACAAAGCAGATGGGTAGCCACATATGCCAAAGGCCCATATGTTAATTCATGTGAGCTCTGCCCAAACCTTGGTCTCTGTGCTCACATCTAGACTTGCATTTGCAGCCCAGACTCCCTGGTCCCTTTCTACAGAGCAGACCAAAGAAACAAAATTATCTGGAACCAAGTAACAGAACTGAGCATAGTGTTGTAGGCAAGGAATGAGGAAGGTGTGACAATCGTGAGGATTCAGAGGCAAAGGTCACATCAGATAGCCCCAGTGCCACAGACATCCCTTTAGCCAGAGTTCCTTCATGCCTAGGCAATTCCAAAGTACCAGTAAACACCAAGCCAAATCCTTAGACAAACTGCAGACTCCCAGTCTGCTCAGAGTGGGGGATGCTGCAGTTTCCCCAGTGTGTGTGTCACCCATAACTCAGGAGCACTGTTAAAATTTTCCTTGTGCCCATCCATATGATGTACCTGGCACAATCTCCTGTGCTTTGCATGTAATGTGATTGCATGTGCACACCAACACAGAACTTCACCTCCTCTTGTCTGATCTGCTTTGACAGCCTCGAGCACAAAACAGTCACAGGCATACTTACAAGCACAGTGCTTTGCTCACAGTGAAGTAGAGAATCTGCCACCACCCTTACTGGGTGGGGAGAACATTTTGGGAGAGCTGCTTCTTTGCTGTTGTTGCTGCACTGCAGCAAAACATAGAAAACCTGGCTTATAAAGCCAGCCTGGCTCTTTCAAAGATGCTAAGGTGGAACAAGATGTTCTAAAAAGCATCAGAATAATAGTCTGATTAGGACACACCCAGAACTCTTACCACTCAGGGCTTTAAGCATGTTGCTGTGCCTTGCAGGTTTACAGAGGTGAGTTCAAATCAAGTGCAGACATGCTGTCAGGTCACCAGCCCAGAGGTAGCAGGAGCCTTGGCTCTGTCTTGACAATTCCAGTAGGGCTCCAAAGAGGACAAACCATTGCCAAACACTGCTGCATATGCATCTCCCTCAGTTCCTTCAGCACTGCAGGGATGTTTTGCAAGAGCCAGACACCCTAAAGTCCTCATGTCTAAATATGTGAGAAAAAAAATAGACTTTTATGGTGCCCTCTGGCAAGGCTTGTACTAGGAAGGACTGCTGGTTTCACATCCCCTTTAAATACTTGCTAGCATTGCCATCACTGCAACAAAGCCAGGATTTCACTCCACGTTTCTGAAGTATGACTCTTACCAGATAGATCACTGGGATTAGGACAGTGGGCAGTTGTTTTACTTCTTTGTAAAAGTTTCTCTTCAGCACATGACAAATGCCTGCTAGGGCCACTTTCTTCCAGTGACATTGTAAGTGGTGTTGGGCAGGACTTCCCACTTCCACTTTAGGACCAACCATTAATATGGACAAGTTCAAAACTATCCTATTAAGCCATGTGCAACTTGCTGGGCATTCATCTCACTCAGCATTAGAAGTCTAAAAGTCAGACATGCCAGCAGAAGAGGCAAACTGTCCTTTGTGGATACCAGCCTAAAAAACAAGTTGAATTCTGCAAATGTCTATTTTTCTTTGAAGACAGCCACAAGGGACACAGTTGGACTCAAGTACTCAGCTTTCCAGAAGTTGAGCTTAAGTGAGGGGAATTTCTTCCTAACCTTTAATTTGCAAGTAAGCAAGGAAATCAACTGTGTAAAATAATGCCCAGTGTGAGGAAAAGATTTTCAGTATTCATTTAAATCTTACTGAAAATCTGTGACCATCAACAGTTTTGTGTTCTATTTGGAGCATGACAAACCACAGTAAGGAGGTGGGAGCATTCAGCAGAGTATCAGGTTTGCATGGAGATTGAATCTGTGACTGAACAAGTCATGTGTTTGCTGATCTTGGAATAGTGGCCAAGAAACACCAGATGTACTGAGCAGTATTATTTATGTTGCAATTAATAAAAACACATCCATCACAGTCATCCCTGAGTGGGCAAACAATATTATGACCCACACAAGTACACCAGGCAAGTATCAACAGAATCAGCTCAGCTGCATTTTGCCTCCAGCTATGCAGAGTGCACTGCCTGGGGTAACACACCCCTACCTCGTGGAGCAACCCTACATAGTGACTGAACCCCGAGGACAACAAAGATAAAACTGGAAATGGTCATACCCCATTGTGTCTTTTTTTATTGTTACCACACAGGTTTTGTGTACCGAAACTGTACCAGTGAGGGCTGGTCAGAGCCATACCCCAGACCTGACATTGCTTGTGGCTACAATGTCAACGACACAACCAACGAGGCCAGAGTGAGTCTGAGTGCCCATGGCCACAGTTCTGCTCTGCTGGGGCCCTGGGGAGAAACTTTTAGCAGAGACTGATTGATGTTGTGATTTAACCCAGGTGGGCCTATTGCTATTGGTGGTTTCCAGCGTGAATACTTTCTGCAAATGATTGGTAGTTGTTGCTAAGGGTCAATAGCTGATTTTACAAGAAAATTTATTTATTAAATAGGAGGAGGGATCTTTCTTTTGGTGCAGGATGATCTCTACCAGGCAGGCAAGGTAAAGATGTGATTATATGTTCCCCTGCAGCGTTCTTATTTCATGACCCTGAAGACCATGTACACCGTTGGATACTGCACCTCCCTTGTGACATTGATGGTAGCCTTGGTGGTCCTGGCCTCCTTTAGGTGAGGAGAATCATCTCTGGTTTGTGTTTGGCCAGGACTTCTGGTCATCTCAGCTGACACAAATCCTTCTATTGACTTTCTGAGCAAGCTAAAAATTGAAGTATATCTGAAAACCTTTACAGAAATCAGTGACAAAATTTATCTCTGAATCTTGTCTCCCAGAAAATGTCAGGGTTGCTCATTATATTGTGCTCTCCCTTTCTTTCCAAATCACAGCTGGATGCATGTTGTAAATGGCATTTGCACCAACTCTCTGATGAGGTTTTCCCATGATTTCAATGTCCCTTGGGCTGAGTGTCTTTCCCTCTGCTGCTCTTTTCCCCACTTGAGACTGTGGCTAAAACTTTGTTCTAAGTGCCACTGCACTGACTTGTGGTAAAGTGTTTCAGGTTTCTGTTAGCAATCTGACATGCAGCTTATCTTCACTTATCCCTGTAACCTGGAATTTGTACTGTACTGCTTATTCAGTGAAATTAATTTCCCTTACAGTAAAAGTTAGGGCGGCACCTCTGGGCAAAAGGAAATCCAACTACTTTGCAAATTTTTATTCAGGCTGCACTGCCTCTGGACACAGACTATGTGGAGACTTAATACAGAAAACACTGCAGGCACAAGTGCACTGTGCTGGCAGAATAAATAAATTCATCCAGGTGTGAATAAACACCTTAGGGTCATGTTACTACAGAAGGGAGGGAAGGAGGGATGCTAGAACAAGCATATTGGCGTGAAATCACAATTTTCCTGGTAACGTTCAGCTTGTTTTAGTACCTGAGTGGAGTAGATATGACTGTAGCTTTTTAAGGTCTTCTCTAGGATATCCCTCTTGGGAAATGCATTAGTCTTCCTTTCATAGACAGAAAACACTGTTCTTCATTTGTCACTTTATTACTACTAAGGATTGAAACCTGTTGTTTACAGCCACAGGTTCCTTACACTGGTGAGGAATGTCACTTTACTGGATCTCTCTCATTTTTTTTTTTTTTTTTGCAGAAGACTTCACTGCACAAGGAACTACATCCACATGCATCTCTTCACATCGTTCATTTTGCGAGCCTCATCCAACTTCATCAAGGATGCTGTTTTGTTTTCCTCTGAAGACACAAATTACTGTGGGGCATACACGGTAATCCTCTGCTCACCAGCTTGCTCCACCCCCCAATCTCTCAGCAGGATCCTAGCAGGATTTAGTGTACAGGGAAGGAAATCTCCATCCCAGATTCATGTTCATCATGAGGGGCTATGGGAGAAGAGAGGTATGCTCTGCCCCTTCTCTGAGAACACATTAAATATTGCTGACTTACACTGCAGTGTGAGACTTGATAGTAAGGTAAGGGCTTGCACTCAGTCTAGGACCTCCCAAATTTTGAAGTGGTTTTGCCTTTCTCTGTTTATTGGCAGCAAACTATTTTGAAAATTTGGGTATGAGGAGGGGTGAGCAACACTGGAGATGATGGTCACTGCTTTAAACTAAAAGATAAGATTTAGGGAGAGGAACAAAAATAGGCTTGTTTTGTTTTATCCTACTGGTTTTGCTGGATATTTGTTGCAGAAAAATAACATTTTGAGAACATTTTAGTTTGTCTTTGTCAACTGCTTTTCTTGTGGAAAAAAAAAAAGGATTGACAATAACATTCATATGCTCCTCTAAGGTGATATTTGTGTTACTGGTACTAGAAAGATAGTAATAGTGAAATTCCCCTGAGACAGTAACCTGAATCCAAGTGTCCATGACACATTCAGTTCTTCTAGTGAGGCAGTTGATTAATGCATTTAGGAGTGCCAGCTCTGCTTTCTTGTCATGTGAACCCCTGTCTGAGGACACCCATTTAGTCCCCTAATTGCTATGAAATCTATATTTGCCAAGATTAATTTACAGCTTGCTGTCTCTGTTAGAAGGTAGGAACAAACCCAGGCAGGAGTTAATTATCCTCTCTTTCCTCAGGCTGGCTGTAAGCTCACCATGGTCTTCTTTCAGTATTGCATCATGTCTAACTACAGCTGGCTCCTTGTGGAAGGACTGTACCTCCACACTCTCCTGGTGATTTCCTTCTTCTCGGAAAGGAAGTTCCTCTGGTGGTTCATCGCCCTCGGATGGGGTACTGGCTCTCCCTTCAGTGAGAACAGCTGAGGTTTTTCTGCCTTTGGGATGGACTCGTGAAGCAATAACTGGTTTTTCCAATTGCAGGTGCCCCAACGGTGTTTGTGGCTGCATGGGCGACTGCTCGGCAACTCCATGAAAATATTGGGTAAGTGGTATGGAGTGGGGAGAGCATGCAGCCCCTGTGCAGGCCGTTCCATGGGGTTCTGCTCATTTCTAATTCCTGGGAGCAAGTAAATCAGTCCACATCCTGCTGTGGTGGGAGCCTGGATCCTAGTGTGGGTGTGAGTAGAGGTACAGCTGAGCAACACGAGAAAAAGCTTCCAATTCCATTTGAGCATTTTTGAGGGTAGAAGGTAGCCTTCGGGTATGAATTCAGACCACGATGTTTTCAGTATCTGCATTTAACTTTCTGAACAGTAAAACTTTGTTTCTTTTCCCTTTCAAAATTTTGAACAGGGAAGGACTTGTTTCTGTCCAGTGCAGGTGGGCAGTTTTCTGTCAGACACATTGTACCACTCAGAACAGGAAATTAGTTTTGTAGAAAAGAGAATAGGGGCCTATCTAAGGTGCAAAACAGACTAAACCTGTTTGAAAAGATACCAATGTTTTGATAACTGACTGCACCTTCTATTTTTACAGGTGTTGGGACATTAACACTGATGCCAATACCTGGTGGATCATTAGAGGCCCCATAGTTGTGTCTATTTTTGTAAGTCTTTTCTGGGACAAGCAGATTCAAACTGTATTTTCAAATACTGTGAAGTCAGAACTCATCTATTCAACATGCTTTAGAAGTGTGTTAATGAACTGATCTTAGGCATGTGTCTGAACCGGTGTGACCCATGAGTTACTGCTTAAGCAACTTCTGCTCAGCAGGACTTAGTTACTAATGCCCCAAAGCTAAGTTCACAAAAAAAGCTAGAGTGTCCTCCCAGGAAGCAGGAGCCTGAAGAAGATCAGGTTTCCACATCCTGTTGATTTCACATGAACGTGGCTGTTTTGTGGAAGCTTGTTTTGGACAGCTTCAAGGAAAGCTCCGGAGGAGAAATGAGTGGCTGTACATTTCAGTACAATTAGTTTTGTGTCTGCTGGTCAATGCCTCTCTCAGCAAAGCCAAAATTAACTTGCCTTACATGACCACTGGCTTTTGTTTTCAGGAATGAAAACAGTTCACAGGCTGCACACACCATATATTAGTGGACAGCACTGAGGCACTGCTGAGTGAATTAAGGCACAGGCATTGAAACTCAGTGTGAGCCTGCCCAGTGCAAGGCAGCAGTGATGAAAAGAGCAGTTTGCTGTGTATAATACTCAGCACCTGTGTTTTGAGCAATTGCTGGTACTTTCCTTCAGAGCCTTAGGTACGAGAGGGCTGGAGCTGCTGCTTGGGATAGTTGTTCTGCTTGATGAAGATGCTGCTGCAATGAATGACCTGACTCAAACCCTAGCCCAGAAATGTGAACTGCTGGTTATTCTCAAGTAACCTCCTGACACTCCAAGCGAAACCCCAAGGGCTGGTTGAGGTTTTTATGTTTCCAGTAAGAACCATTTTGTTTGCAAAACACAAACTGCGACACTTGCACACTTCTCAGAAAGCCAGGCACCAGAGACGGTGGGTTAAAGTTCTGCACCTATTGACTAGTGAGCAATCCTGCACCCCTACAAGATAAGCAGCAGACCGCTTGCACAAGTGATTTGGGATCAACTTAACGAGGTCATAGCATTTATTTTTCTTTATGAAACTACCCTCATGCTAGGAACCACTCAGCAATATATAAAAGCCAAAAAGAACCAGGCAAGACAAAAAGCACAATCTTAGTTTATCTTTTGGCGGCCCCCACCCGCTATCGCCTTCCAAGTGTCCTCAGAATGTTGATCCTGCCTTGTTTGGCCACTGAAGGCAGAAGCCGCCTGCATGACTCTGCAGGTTTTCCCCAAAAGAGGCTTTACTCAAGCCCAGAACCAAACAAACAGCCAGATCTTAAGCACTCAGATCTAATCTCTGTATTCCTCACAGCCTTCAGCAGTTGAAAAGGCAGAAAATCAGCACGGATAAACACCTTTGTGCTCCTCGGCTCTCGCTCATTCTTGCGCTGCCCGCGGGCAATTCCTCCGGGCAGGAATCCCAACGCTCCCCTTTCCCCCATGGCTTTTATCACTGAAAAGTCCTGCTCAGCCTACACGGCTCTTCCGTGGCCTCACGGGTTAAAAAATCCCAGAATACCCAGACCTGAACCTCCTGAAGTATTCCTTTCCTCCATGCTCTCCACCTCTAGCCCTCCAGCTCTATTCCTTTCCTCCTCCCTCCCCAGCCTCCCCAAACTTCCAGCCCTCTCAAAGACTCCCTCAGCAGCCACAGCTGCACCCTTTCCATCCAGTAACTTTAAAGAACTCAGGCACTTGCTGTGTCTGTCCCATCTCCAGGAGACCCAGTTCTTTTAGGAAGAGCCCTGCTGCAATGCCCCCAGGCACGCAGGACCCACCATGAAGAGGATGCAGCTCTGCCGAGTTTCCCGGCTCAGGGAAGGGGTTAAGGGCTGCCACAGCGCAGGGTGCTGCAGGAGGGGCGCAGGTCTGCGGCTTTGCAAGCCAAGGGCAGATCAGCCCGAGGTGGCTCCCCACGGGATGCAGCGGGACAGACAGACACACAGACAGACAGACACGCTCAGGCGGCTCTACCTCCCCTGCAACTCCCATTCTTTGCCTGAGGGTCAAACGAGCAGAAACAGCTATTGCCTCATCTGCACTCAAACTGAGCAGATCAGCATTTTTATCTGATACCCACCCTTCGAGATGGGGAAAAGGCAAAAGGAAGAACTCCAGTGTCGACTCTCTCCCCACTTTTAACTACTTTGCCTCGTGATCCCAAACCACATGGAGTGCTTTTAGCAGGGAAAAAAAGAACACTTGTAGTTCTATTCTATTTAGCAACTGATAGCTCCAGTGCTTCCCCTTTGCTGGCATCCAAAGTGGGGCCAGACTGTGCAGAGGCTCTCAGAACCCCACAGCCAGAGGGGACCAAATCGATGCTCCTGGTTTCCCTGCCCTTTGGTGATTTGCCGGGATAACAAGCCCTGACCATAACCAAAGCTGCATCAAACCAGCAGGGAAAGCAGCCAGCATCCAAGCCCAGGGTGACCAAGCAGGCTGGAGGAACAGGAACAGAGACTGGGATGGGAACATGGACACAGGCAGGCCAGCCCCAACCCCTCTAATCTTTTTGCTCCATCCAAACCTCCCAAAGTGGTTCTGCTGATACTTGCCAGTTACATAAGTGGATACTGGGTTTGTTGTTTGGTGGGTTGCTTTTGTATTCTTACTTTGTTTTGGTTTTTTTTGTTTTGTTTTGTTTGTTTTTTCCAGATTAATTTCATTCTCTTTGTCAACATTTTAAGAATCCTGATGAGGAAGCTCACCTCTCCTGAAAAACGGAGCAGTGATTTCAACCAATACAAGTATGTCCCTTACATCCCTTATAAGACATTCAAGGTCACCTGAGCATTTCTTGCTCCTTCTACACCAGCTTTCCCCCCTGTTTTCATTCTCAGGAGACTCGCAAAGTCAACACTCCTCCTCATTCCTCTCTTTGGGGTCCACTATATCATCTTTGCTTTTTTCCCTGAGGATGCAAGCAGTGGCACAATGGAAATTCAGCTGTTTTTTGAATTGGCTCTTGGATCATTCCAGGTAATACTTGACAACCTATTATTTCTTTTAAATAAGAAAAAGAGGTAGAACATATAACTCTGCAACAGACTTGAGTTTCCAATGGCAAAGCCAATCTGTCTGATTTCCCCTGAGATGCCTCATCCCCATTCAAAAGCTGAAATTGCAATCCTGTGACCACGATTCTTTTATCTTTTAGGGCTTTGTTGTGGCTGTACTTTATTGTTTTCTTAATGGTGAGGTGAGTTTCATGTGTATAACATTCTTTTTTATTGCTGAAGCATGCCTCGTTAATCAGTGGGATACATCCCCCAATGAATTACACACTTTGTCTGAGGGTTTTCTTCCCAGCTACCTACCATCAGTCTTGAAATTCCTCCTAGACCTGGCAAGTGTAGGTAATTGTATGCCAGATGTAAACTTCACCTCTCAACTACTGCAACCCTTTCATAAATCAGATAACATTATTACTGTCTGGGAACTGAGGGTGGGAGCACCATCCCTCACACAGTCACACTGACAGCTGACTGGTCCTGAGGTATGATACCATTATCTGCCACCCCATCCATGGCTGCTTTATTTACTCAATCCTTAGGAGGGAATCTATCAAAAGCTATACCCAGTCCAAGTTTATTAGGATTCTTATAAGGTAAAGCTTTTGGTAGAGGGATCGTTTCCTTTATAGTTGCATGACAACTCCCAGGCTTCTGGGCTAGAACTTGCACTCTGAAATGCTGCTGCTGGTAGAGGTGAGGGGAAGCATACAAACCTGGAAGATGTAGAGCTAATTGGAAGGGGGAAAAAAAAGCAAGCAGTGCCTAAGAAAAAGTCACTTTGAAATGAAAGACAGTTTTGAAATACTCTGACTGATCTGCCAACAGGGTTCAGAAAAAATGGTTTTGAAAAGAAAATGTGCATATTTTTTTAACCTTAGAGTGCCAAAATGTCCTGGTTTTATATCTAAATTTAAAATTTTGAAAAAATCTACACCAAACCCTTCCTAAGGTCAGCTGGATTATGTGAACAGTTTCACCTGCAATTAAATATAAAGATGTGTCACTGCAACAACAGTATCACTAAAAGTGTCAAGAAACAGGCCTCACCTTAACCTCTTAAACTGGGGTTTAAATAAATAAACCCAAACCTTGGCAAAGGTAAGCCGCTCTCATTTTCCTGTTATGCTGCTCTCTGCAGTGCAGGGCTCCAACATAAACTAGCTGAACTAAGTATTTTGTGACCTTTCTACCCAGGTCCAGCTGGAAGTTCAGAGAAAATGGAGGCAGTGGCATTTAAGCAAGCACTGGCGACAGCATCTCAGCACCTCAGCGAGTAACGGGGGAAGCAGCTTGACTCAAGAGATGCAGGTGGTGAGGTCCAGCCCACCAGAGCACAGGAGAGGAACCCTCCAAAGGTCAAGTGTGCTTTAACTCTGTGCACCTGAGGGTACCTCCATGCTCAGATGCACATGGCTGAGTCCCACAGGCTGAGCTGGGAGCCCTGTGTCCATGCCCAAAGCAGGACTTGGCTGTAGATCAGCGGTTCTTGGAGCGCATCTGTTTGTGTGCACCCTGTGCAGCACCACGGCTGTTTTGCAAAGCAAAATGGGCCAAAATATTATGCTCTTCCTTGAGTTTCTGCCCACAGTAATTTGTGTTTCTTTCCACACCTGCTGCTAGTCCTACCTTAAATGTGACTTTCCATTTTCCTTGTGGCTCTCTAGCATGTGCCAGGCTGAGTCAGGCTGGTGATTTTTTGATGTTCTCTATTTCTTCTGCTGTAGAATCTGGGAGGACACTGAATTTTATATGATGAAGGTTACTTACCATCTTCCATGGGTTTGAAATGCAAAATTAATTAATCCCTAGAATTTATCAAGATTCAAAGCCTTTCTGTTGTGGTGATGGATGAATGGATGATGAACACTGAGAACATAAGGCACAACTGAGCTCCAGTTTCCTCTCTGACTATATGTCCATTGCTCCAGTGACAGTGGCAGGTTCAGACAGGTTTTTGACTTTGCCTCTTTTAGGTGGAGACCTTAGAAACAACAGTGGTCCAATTTGGATATTTGTATAATTTTGAAATGGTAACAAAGCTATTACAACATGCTCCAAGGGTGACCAGAAAAACTTCACTAAGATAGCTCATCCCTGTTGTGTCTGTACCTCTGAGACTTGACCAGATTGTATTTGAAGGGAAGAAATGAAAGCTCTTGAGATATCTAAAGGTTAATTAAACTGGACTGGACAGTAGAAACTGGTGAAAAACAATACCATAGTGGCTACCAAAAACCTCTTTAGAGTCTACAGTCCCTCAGTGTACTGAAATCTGCAAGGCTGTGCACTGTAATATGCTGTCAAAAAGTATCTGAGCTATCACAGCTTTATGCTCTTAAGGACATAATTAATCAGATTTCCCTGTTTTGAGTGGGAAAGGGGTAAAACAATTCATCTGACAAATGAAATCAAATCTCCTACTTGATTTTGTATCCACATTTTCCTAGTTGGGGTGACTTTTGGCTGGGTTTCTTCAAGGGCAAACATGCCTGAATTGAAAGCAAATGGTGTTTATCACTTCTCCCTCCTCCTGATCACCTACCAGACGTTGGCAAAACATGCATGGCATGTCAAACGCTGCCTGAGCAGCATTCCCCAACCCCCTCTGCCAAAACTGCTCCAACTAGCTTTTAATCACACCAAATGCCTACATGGTAGCCTTCTGCCATTTAATCAGAAGACAAACATGCAGAGAAGTTCAAAGGATACATCCAAGCTTAAATTACCTGTACTGAAGCAGGTTTTTGAGTGATGTTAGCTCTCTTTGAAACTCTGAGATTCAGGAAAAAGATCTTTTTTTTCACTGGCAGTGCCGACAGCTATCCCACACCCTCCCTGGTGCAGCACACGGAGGGCAGCCAGGAGAGGAAGGGCACCCAGCAGCAGGGAAAGTTCGTGGTTGCTCCAGCCTGCCCTGCCTGGTTGGCTTTCCTAGCTCATGAAGGTTACCCAGCAGTAGGAGAGTTGACCTCTTTACAAGCAGGAAAAAAACCAATATGATGTAAAGCTGTAAACTAGCAAGTGTTTCAAGGAATTATTTTAAACTTATATTTTTGGAAATAGCAAGGTTTCAAGTTGGCTTTGTCCTTTACAAAACAAGTGCAAGGAAGAACAGAAGCAGGATCAGTCCCATGACCAAAGGAGAAGTGAAAGCCCTGCCCAGAAGGTTGGAATGAAAGATGTCACTTTCTGCTGACTCACCCAAGTCAAGCAGAGCCTTCTCCAGAAGAGGAGAACTTCTCGAGGGTTCACTCTGTCCCAGTGCATTTAGCAAGTCAGATACTTCAAAAACATGTAACCTTAATTTTCTCTCTGGCCTATGAATGAGACCAAGAAGGGTGAAACAACTTGTATGTTCCCTCTCTGAAAATTAAACTTTCATCCTTCAAGCCAAAGCAGCTGTTTGTTTTAAATGCAAGTGCCTCCTTCCAGCATAAATGAAGAAATACAGATTCAGAGATACAATAACATGTAATTAATTAGATCTGATGCAATTACTGGCTCTCACACGATCCAATGTAAGAGCTCAGCCCTGCAGTGTGTAGTTAGGACCAGCACAAGACTGGGAGGAGCCCAGGCTGAGCATGATACCTATTTGTACAGGGGCATGCCACATGCCCCAGAAAAAAAATACTGCTGGTTTTTATATTTAAAAACCCCTAGTTCTAGCATAAATTATTGTTTTACATGACCATTTTGGTTTTATTTGCCTTGCCTGAAATAACTAAGAAAAATGAATTATTCCCAGATTCCGTATAACATGTTCATTTCAGGCATCAAGCACAAGCCTTGTTTGTATGAAGAGCTGAGTAACTCCATAAAAACTCCTGGATGTCAGCTGAAATTTGGTGTCCTCAACTCTTGGGGAAGAGCACATCCACTCGGGAAGATACCAGAAGCAGGCAGCCCCTGGAGTTATGATGCTGTGAAATTGTCCTGGTTTCTGCTGGCTGTAGGAAGCTGCTGCCTACCACCACCACAGGGGAAAGGGTTCTTACCTCCCCCATCTCCTGGGCAGGCAGTACAACAGCTCCTTGCACTTCTGGGGATCTTGCTTGTTTAGCTGTGCTGAAGGATGCTAGAGAAAAGAGCTGCTTAGCTCTGGGAACATTGACATGTTTATAAGCAGATGAAGAGGAACAGGAAAGCAGATCTCAGCAATGCAAAAACAGGAGATGAAGGCAGAAAGGGTGAACACAAACTCCATGATCATAGATCCCAGTCCTTTCCCTTTCACTGCACTTGCTCCAGGGTATTCAATGTAACATGGTGGCTTTACCAGTAAATAGGATCTGAGCATCACCTTTCACACAAGTAGTTGTCAGTGTTCAGGGACACTGTGACAGCCTCTGGCTATTCAACCCAGATGCCCTGAGGAGCCAGTTGTCCTTCTGCAAGCTAGCAGGAACATCAGCTGATGAATTTAAGAGGAAGTCATTAATGGATTTTCCCTCCAACACTGGCAACAAGGAAGTTCCTAGCAAAACTGTCAGAAGCAAAAACTAATAATTGTTCAGTGATTAATTACACTGTGCAATGCCTGAGTGCAGGGCAGCTGAAATGGGCTGTTTCAGAAGTGTTGGTACCGATTCAGTGGGGTTGGGTCCGGTGAAGGTGAGAGACCTCAGGCATTCAGGCAACACCCCTTCCAGAACACTGCCTGGGGCAGACCTTATTTTCAGCCAGAAAAGAGGCCCTTCTTGCATGTGCCAGCTGTCTTAGAGGGCTGAGAAGAAGGACCATTATCAGCTTACCAGCACAGGGAAAGAGAAAGCAGGTGAGGACAGTCATTAATATATCTTTGTAATCATCTTCCTGTGGCTTGCAAAAGCAAGCAAGGCTCAACCCCATTCCTGGTGTCCCTACAAGCACAGCTGATGAATGTATTGGAGACTTAAAAAGAAAATAACATGCTCTAGGGGACCCTGCCCTAGATCAGGGAGGCTGGATTAGATGACCTCCAGTGCACCCTTCCAGCCTTAACCATTCTGTGATTCTGGAAAAACACAGTCCAAGCAGGAAATTTCCCTAGCTACCATGCCCTTTATCAACATTTCCTTATTCTTATCCACAGGCAATGGCTTGTGTACAAGTGTCCAATTAAAGTTAAAGGCTCATTAACAAGAAGTGATGTTCATTACCCTGCTTTTAAGGGATGTTAAACTGAGACATGCCAAGTACCTCTCCTGTTGGAAAGAAAACACCAGGTGCTAATTAACTTGAGATTACATTAACTAATTCAGTGGTGTAGCTGGGAAGATCTTTTCCTGACACTTAACTAAACCTGCTAATACAGTGAGCTCTGAGAAAAAATCATAAATACATTTCTTGTGGGCCAAACAATCAGAGCTGAGGAAAAGAGCAAGGATGCTTCAGACACGGGGTACAGTGTGGGAACAGGAAGGTGAAGGACACAGGAAAGAGCTCTTTAGCTGGTAAACAGAGCACATGCAACAGCAGGAAGTCATTAAAGCGCCTACAAGGTTATCTCAAATTCCCACGAAGCAACACAGCTGACTGCCCTGCTTGTTTTGGAAGACAAGAGAGCAGTGCTGGCTTCTTGGGCTGGTGCAGACACTCTGGAGGGAAAAGGAGAGGGGAGCATGTAGTGGCCACAGTTCAGAGCTTGGAAGAGCACCAAGCAGCCATTTCTTCATCAGTTTAGGTGGGTAAACACATGGAATGGTACCTGTGAGATTATGTAAAGCCTCCCCCATCCCCTTAAGTCTACACCCCAATATCAAAAGATAAAAGGAGTGAATTACAGTTCTTATTTCAAATAACTTTATTTAACAAATTTCAGGAATATTACTTGACACTTCCAAACGCTTCAGAAAATGAACAGTAACCACTGCTGCACAGGTTGCTCTATATAAGGATGTCTCCAAAACAATCAACTATTGTTTTGTAATATTTAGCTGTCAAAATGCATCTTTTCCCAGCATAATTGAGTGGTACTATACAAAAAAACAGTCGGAAAAAAAAGTTACTCAATTTTCCCCAGAGGATTCCTTACCCCCAACAAAAGGCCTCTTCTTTAGCTGGCAGAGGGTATCCTAAAAATCATTCCAAATTGCACACCATGTCTAGGGTGAACTCAATGGCCAATTGTCCAGTGTCCCTCTAACCCGAGCAGGAGGCACCAGCCTGGAGCCCAGTCTGGCTATGGCTGCCTTCCAAGGAAAGGGATGGAGGCACAGCCTCCCGCTAGCATGAGGGAGTGAACACACAGAAGTCATTTCCAAGTCTGGATGTCACCAGAGTGTCACTCTGAAGCTACATTCATGTTTCTAGACAAGCCACAGACACCCTTACATGCAGAGGAGCTGTCCTGCCTGACATGGGCACCCCCAGGCACCACAGCTGGATCACTGGT